GACAGTAACATGAACCGGAACAAGATTCAGATGTTAACGCCAACTATTATTACCTAACTGATGGCTGCAAACGACGCCCATAGATTCTCCACCCCTGTGGAATTGAATATGACATGCGCCTATACATCTGTATGTGATTATCTGCACCAGTGCACGTTGATACTGAGTTGCGTACGAAGTGCAAAATCGTTCGTTTATAAGCGTCACAGCTTCAACATAAAAGCTGAAAACTGAATTACTGGAGATCATAACGGGCTAGCGGGTCGAGACTTCAACCAAAAGCGCCTTTACAGTCACGAGATCAGCAAACGTTTTCACTGCGACAACGCGCAGCATTTAAATAGACAGTTATTAAATTATGCGTCGAATTAAGGTTCGGCAATTTTCACAAAACAACGCCTGTCTCTTCAAATCTGCAAATACGTCATGACTGAGGCCAACGTCGCCACAACAGCGTAAGGAGAAGTCTGAAAACGGTGAAAAAACACTTTTAGATTACCTGAGCATTTAGGTAAGATTCCACTCCTGTCCCTAGGGTCTAAAATCCAATAGTAGAACTTTAGCGCATGCAGCAACTGCATGATCGTCGTCACTTTTCGAACACCGTTGAATATCGGAGCATTCTCAGCGAAGTCTGTCGACAGGTAATAAAAGAGGCGAACTTGAAGCTGAAAGTTAGAGGCATATAGCGCTACGACATAAGGCACATTTATACTTGGCCGTAGGCGCGTATCCACAATCCCGGGTTCAACAGAATGAAGTCAAACAGCTGTTTCAGCATAGGCAGTCCTGAGGCACTTGTGAGGAGAAAGTGCGACATGTCCAAAAACGTGTCCAACACTTGGACAGTAATGTTATCGCGAGATGCCTGAAACCAAGGTTGAACTATTTAGAAACGGCAAAAAAACTATAACTACGAAATGGGCCGACAAACAGTGAAAAAGCAAATGCAACATCAAAAGTTGCAGCTTATAAGAATGATAAATTGCACATGGGCGTTTCAGACCTTCAAACCTAAGCTTCCCATTTTGTACGTGAACATCTCATTCCATGTCAACGACATCGAATGTTGTGGATGTTATTTCGAATGCATATATTTCTACTGCTTAACGAGATCAAAGAATTCTGCTTCGTAGCACAGATATGCAATTTTACACAAATTAATAACAATGACAACAAAACAATACACGAAACTACAGCAAACAATAGACAAACTGCCATAGTTCGGCCAGTGTACAACGGTCATAAGATAAAAAAAAA